TTTTTTTTTTGTTTTTTTTTTTTTTTTTTTTTTTTTTTTTTTTTTTTTTTTTTTTTTTTTTTTTTTTTTTTTTGGTATATTTAAGGGTAAATCCGTAATTTCCTCTTCTGGCTTCTCATCCTATTATAACATTTTTTTTTTTGTTTTGGTTTTATTGTTCGAGTTTATTACAAGTGGAGAAACGGGTTCGGGATACAATTACAAAAAAAATATAAGACTCAAAATACAATGACACGTGACCATGCAACTCTCAAATGCTCCCCACCTTAACCGAACACTTGAAAAAGAAGTAAAAGGGTGAGTATAAAAATATACTTCCTAGACTCTAATCGTATCCTTATTTTAGAAGGTACCAGAGGCTTTACTGTAGGTTCTAGGTTCATTTAGGTCTAATTCTACCTTATTTGAGCTTATGGGAAGATCTTGAAGTTCTAAACGATTCTGTTTTGAATCTTATCTCTAGGGGTCGATATAGGTTTCCAAACCTTTATGATCTTTAACTTTGGTAGCTTGCTCATGATGGTGTTACTATAACATATGCCGAAGTAATTTGGATCTTTGGCACTCTTAGAACATGAATTATAGTAAATAACTAGCATGTACAAGTATTAAAACTCAAGGAGTTTGAGTACTAACCTTTTGAAGTTCAAATTTCTTTTCCCTTACGAACTGGTTTCGAACCACTACTAGTGTCTTCTCTACTATTTTTCGACATTAGAACAAGATTGTGGAATCCAGAAGGGATTTAGTATATATGAAGAGAGAATTTGTGAGAGTTTTTCTCAAGGTTTTTCCAAGAAGTTTCATGTACCGTGATCACTCTATTTATAGACTCAGCATGTTATGCAAATTTGAGATCATCAAATTTTGAAACTCAAAATTCCACTAACTCAAACATGGTTTTTCACTTCCATTAAGTGAAGTCAACATTTTGACTTTCTTCCTCATTTTAATTCAACAATTAATTTGAATAATTAATTTTAAATTAAAGTAATATTAAATGATTAATTAAACTAAAGGGTGTGGAAACTTCTTCCTAGAGGGTGGATTGTGTTGTGTTATCAAACGCAGAAGTCACGCATGGTTTGTACCATGGCAGGATACTATTCTAGTACTAGACCACTTCGGAGGGTCTAAAGGACAATATTTGTTAGCTCATATATAAGGGTGTAGAGACCTCTCCAAAGGATGGATTGTGTTATCAACTATTCCGATATAGTTGTCGAAGCAATCCTATGACTTTTAATATAAGTCCAAAAAAAGTTCTGATTTCCTCCGATGATGTTGTCAAAAATCAAATAAATGTTGATGATCCATGTTATCAAATACTCAATACAGAGATCACCATCGCATGATTCACCGGGAATTGAATCAGAATATGTATTATATTCTACTACTAAACCACTAGTGCTTCTTCAAGCTAGAGAATTGAACCAGAATCTGTATTTCTTGACTAGTGCTTCTTCAAGCTAGAGAATCGAACCAGAATCTGTATTTCTTCAAGTCCCAAGAATCTTCAAGTTGGTGCTTCTTCAAGCCCATAGAGATCACATCACATAATGCACCAATCGGGAATCAAACTCGGGTTTATATCGTGTCAAGGTACTATTTTACCGCTAGACCACTGGCGCTTCTTCAAGTTAATGTAGTTGTCAAAGCAATTACCCGACTTTTATATGTCCAAAAAGTTCTTATTTACTTCGATGATATTAAATAAAATGTTGATCAACTTCTCGACACAGAGATCATCATTGTATAATGCGTACTATGGCAGGGTATTATGCTACCACTAAACCACTCCGTGCTTCTATATTCCAAAATAGTTGTCGAATTAATCCCATGACTTTTATATTAAATCCAAAAATTCTGATTTCCTCCGCTGATATTGTTAGAAATCGAATAAATGTTGATGACCCACGTTATCAACTATTCTACCCATTATTTTTTTTAATCAATTTTAATAGTCTGAGAGTACTTTTAAAATTGTTAAAAATTCATTTTTTACTTCGAAATCACTCTAAAAATATAACATACTTTTAGTTATTCAAACTTATTTTGTATGAGGTGAAATCACATCTAAAAGTGTAAGAGTCATCTCAAACATGCCATTAATGTTAATATAGATATCACTTTCACATAAACGGCAGGATTTTTTTCAATCAACGCACGCGTTCACACGCACATGCACGGGTATTTTTCATGTCAACTTGAACCTAACACAAGTTCATTATTTGAAATATAATACCTTTCATTTTTTCACAAAGTATCTTTAGGTTATGGAGTAGTTAATTATAGTAAAACTATGTATAGTAAATGACATATCAAGTAAATGCTACAGTTGAACCATTTATATATTCATTTATATATTCAATTAGGCTGTGCTTTGAAAATGTATTCTATCGTCCATATAAACCTTTAGCCAACATTTCTCTTTGTATTCATTTAGATCAAGTGTGTATTATTGTGCGACCTAACTAACAAGTACAAGTACGGGGGAGGAAGAGAGGTTACCTTTGATCATTGGCAAGATTGGAAACAATCCTCGAGTGCATAGCAGAGCTTGAAAACAGCTCATTATTTAGTTACACAAGATTACCTCAAAATTGCAATTACAGAAGTTTGGGCTGAAAAGCCACAAGTGATGTCCAAACATATAGAACCCCCCAATAAGATATGATGTGAATCGGAAAAAGGGGGAAAATTACAATTGATGAACACTACGCAGCTGCAGAATTGCCCATTGATTCCAAACAAGATCTGAACAATTTCACTGTCAATATATTTTTACAACCAGCTGCCTTCCCAAATGGAGTTACTACTTCATCTGCTCCCTATTTATTCTAATACCACCCTCATAAACAATGCAATCTAACATAAAAAGTTATTTTATCTTGTATGTTCTTGAATGTTCTTGTATGTTCTTGCAGTTGGTCAAAAGAGCTAGCTTCCCAACTCCAAAATCAAATATATTGCGTTCATTCAGTAATGACTGGACTCTTATGCACAATCAGATGTCTTACAGATTGGTCGACGCATAATATTTCCAGGCGTTTACGAGAATCCGCTTCCGTTTAACTCAGCATTAGCATGGAATGGAGACAAATGCTCCCCTGAATGAGATGACTTGCGGGATTTCAGGTGCCCTGGAGAAGCAGAATATGAATCACTGGAACTGAATGTAGAATACATTGATGATGTTGGGAGTCCATGGATCCTCGGTAATCCGGTTGGATCGGCACCAACGTTGTATCCCTTTTCAACTGTTTCAGCCTCCAAAGGCAATTCATCCAATGTCTGCAATCATGATATGTTCATATATCTTCATTCGTGCTAATGTCATGATCAAACAGCATACTGAACTGAACCATTATTTCAATAGGAACCATGATAGAACACTCAATAAAAATTGTTCTTTAGTCGTAATTTTATTTACTGTCTCGTGCCCCTAGGCTTTTTTTGTTCCGTGAATAGTTCATCTAATTATGAATCCATCTCTCTGGAGCTTTATTGAAAATAATAATGCAGGAAGAATACAAAGTAATAGAAGTTTCAGCTAGCTAAAGAACAAAAAACAAAAATTGTAACGGCCCAAGCCCACCGCTAGCAGATATTGTCTTCTTTGAGCTTTCCCTCAAAGTTTTTAAAACGGCGTCTACTAGGGAAAGGATTCCACACCCTTATAAAGGATGTTTCGTTCTCCTCCCCAACCAATGTGGATATCACAAAAATGCAGAAAACCAATAAAAGATTAAGGCTTCTCATTGTATATTATTTATATTTTTGCTTAGTTTGTATCTTTCGATCTTAGTCTATTATCATTTTTTTCTTGTTAAAAAAATAAAACGACACAAGCATTGCCATTTGTCATCACGTGACCAGGAAAATCATACCCGAAAAGCCTGTTGAAGTACACGGAGAGTTTCCCTTGTACGCTTTCTCTTCATTGCCACTTCATCCGGCTCCTGCAACATCTCTTCAAACAGGTTCTCTCTGTTTTACAATATTACACCAAAACATAGAACACTTAACAAAACAAAAATAGAACATAATCCATAACGTCAATAAGTTTTAAAGATGCAAGGTCAAGAGCATCCAAAAGCAGAATACCTGTAAAGTTTTTTAATGAATACATTGTGCAGAACGCGCTTTGAATGGTTTACCTGAATCAAACCAACCAAAACATAAGCACTAAATATGATCCTATTTAGTTGCTTTCGCAAAACAGCATGTTCTACTCCAACTCGAAACAAAGAACAAGAACAAAAATAGACAGAAGGAAGTATACATCACTAGGTAGGTCAGATATCACAAAACATGTTGCTAACTTGTCTAATCAACCATGCTCCTATGAGTTTACCCTTTCTGCCTAGCTCAAAAGTGATTGGTTAGATTGTAGGGCTGTTAAGTTAGCTGGTCAGTTGTCACATAAACTTGCGTTATGATTCGTTGAATTCACTTGAAAATTCAATACTTCAAATTATCAGGCAAAAGAAGATGAACATTGGAAACGTTGAGTCAATATGACCAATAGGTACTAAGTAGCAGGATAAGAGAGATAATCTTGATTCTCTTCAAAAAAAGTTGCATAAACAACAATACTGAGGAACGAGCGGAAGGACAAGTTCCTTAGCTACACCTTAGGGTCAATAGCAACAAAGTATGATGATAAATAATCACCCCCTCAATTTGTTAGTTGTTTCTGATTAACATACTGTTTCTTATTCACCAAGTGTTCTCTAGTATAACATTTCCAATTTTGATGGTACTTCCAAATCTAACAATAATATAAACATGTCGATTATCAACTTCATTTAAGGAATATAATTCTTTGTTCAAGAAACAAGATCGAAGAGATATATCTAATGAATCGTTTGAACAAGAAACAAACTTTTCATTGAACAAACAAAAAAAGACTAAAATTCAAGAGATACACAGAAAAGAACAAAACTGATGATAAAAAGAACGGATGCATTTTAATGAATTCATAACAAGAAAGCAAGCAATTGGTTTTTGAGAATCTCATTGATTCAATTATTTAAGAATCTCCAAGCTTCCCTTCCAGTATTTAATTGAAGAAAAATATGATAGGAACTGGCAGTATTATTAAAGCATTAAACTTACCAGGAAGTGCATGATGGTTTTAGGTACCAAGTCCTCAATATTCTTTCTAACAATATCATAATAGGATCTCAAAAGCAGTTTAGTTATAGCAATTTCAATAGCCTCCTGCTCCGTATGGGTTTCTGAGGGCCTCAAAACAGTTGGTGGCTATAACAACATAAAACCTGTTAGCCAGGTTAAATCAAACAGTGTGGAAAGATGAAAATCGATTAATACGATTGTGGTATTATGACTAACCTCTCTCAACTGGATCATTGAGAAAGAGTGCTCAACATTATGAAGAGGCTCTCCAAATGGTTTTTTTGATGAATTTTCTTTAACAGAAGTACGGTTATCACTACTATTACTACCAAAAATAGATGAAATCCCCCAATTAGAACTCCCTGTGCCTCCTGACAAGTTAAAGGACACAATAATTCATATTGATGAGGAAAAACCATAAGAATTATTGATAAAAATGCAGAAAATAGTTAATAGATTAATTCATATAGGCCCTTATGCAACTAAATCAATGAGAGTACTCCAATAATAGAACCAGTCATCTTTTATTAAACTGATGGCTGTAAGGGAGACATTTCCACTATATGTATAATATTTGATATTTTCTTTTTGGTACAAATATATAAATCTTTTGTTTTCAGATACTTCTTTAAATAATTTTTGGAAATTAGAAACAAAATAAAACACTGCAAGAATATTATTAAACATTTTATTACATGTGTTTAGCTTTCGCATTAAAAGTTGGTGTTCATAGACAAAGGAGAAGAATAGTATAATTACCAGACAAAGTAACTTTTTCAGCTTCTGCCAATGGACGAGCCTGTTAACCATAACAAATAAATAAAAATAGTATAAAAATGTGAAGGCAAACACTGGGCAATAAATTATCATTTTAACTGATTATCCCGTGTGCAGCCTTATCAAGATCTATACCATCCTAATCAACACAAAATTTAGTATTAAACAAGAACCACAAGCTAGTTTGGGAAAGGAAAAGGCAACTTCTTTTTTTTGTTCTAAGGAACAAAATGCTATATTCAAAAGAGAAAACCAACCACAAAGTATACTAGGGGCGTTGGTGGGTAAAGGAAACCCCAGCCCAAAGAACTACAAAATAAGAGTCTTTCAATCTTTAGTATTCACTAGAAGACCATGGATACAAAAATTTCTTATTGGTAACACACCACCAGGAGAGTGTATGCTACACACACTATCACAAAAAGAATCATGGGCTCCTGGGTGAAAGATGTCTCTTCTTCGATATCAAAAATCATGTAATTATGCTCCTTCCAAAGCAGCCATCTTGAAAAGATGAAGCATAAGCCTCAGTTTTGATTAAAACATTATACAAACCTTAAATTTTGGTGATCAAATGTTGCTAAACATAATAGTTATATAAAAGTATATTAAAAAAATCACGTCGGTCAGTTGCCACCTAAACAAAAATTCTAGAAGGATATCTTTAACATCACTAATAGGATTGACTTATTATAGCTCGACAATAATTGATATCTCCTCCTTTCTTTGGGGTCAGATGTTCAAATATCTATTCACCACATCTATTGTACTAAAAATATATATACATTTCTTTATTTAAAAAAATAAAGTAAAAAAAACGATAACCAGTTGTCGACTTTACCTTCTGTCTAGAGATAGGCAGGGAAACCCTAGAAGATTTGACTTGTTGCAATGCAATCTCAACAGCCTTGCTCCCACCAAGAAAATTCGGGTGTGAAGTGTTTATGTAGTCCATCTGCAAATACGAGTACAATATGACATTCATGGTCAAACATTTAATAAGAACAAAAGGCAAAAGCTGGTAAATAAAAAATCATTAACACAAGTTATTGGCATGGAAAGGCCAAAGAAAACAAAAATTAATTTCATACTAAGACTTCCGTTCAAGAAATTTAAAATCAATGTCCATTGAGAAAATGCCATCCAATTCTGGGACATAATAACTTTGATGATTAATTCGTCTGCTCCATCACATAAAAATAGTAAAATATTGTCAATATAAAATGATTGGAGAAGATTACACAGTACTTTCTTGGATATTAATTTATGGATAGAGAACCAAGGAGTTTGCCCTTGTGCAGTAAACAGAATCCTGAAGTGACCCAAGTATTCATGAAACTACTTGACCGACTCCCTTGCGTATGGGAATCAAATTACCACTACAATGAAGACCAGCATAAACTCCGAAACAAATAATATTTCTAACCTCTGGCGTGTATTTCATAAAACTATGGCGATCGGTAAAGTGTTATCTAACAAATTACGTGTCACAAAATCCATAGTTCAAATAGACCAATAATTATACCAATCCATATTTTCCAAAATAAGAAAAATATTTCAGCTATTGACTTATGTGGTTAACCAACATAACATCAAAATGATTTTGTGTGTTTGTGGATGAATCACCACAAAATCAAGCATAGATGACATACCTCCACATCGATGATATGCCCAATCATAGTCTCTGAGGGTTCAAGACCTTCTCGCAAAAAATTGCCCATAACTTCATCCATGCGCTTTCTTAAAACAGGAAATCTCTGTAGTTCATTTACCACGCAATGATGGCTAATCTGAAGAGAACAACCAATATCAGAAAACTATAAGCAAGTAATAATAAAATTATGCACAAAACGCAGCCAAAAAAAACAACCACCTTAACTAGTTCCTCATATATCAACCTTGCACACTGGAGGCTTGGATCTAGTAAGCGAGCTATTTGCTTGCGAATAAGAACTTCAAAAGGAACCTACACACAGATCAGCATCAAAATAAGGCGAACCCAGTCCATAATATGTTATGGCTAAATTCTATCAAACACGGTGTAACCACTAAGATTTCACAATACCTTCACATACTAGAAATAAGTACAGTGGGACATAATGAGATTTTAACCTCAAGGTGCACTGTCTCAAAATTCTTTTATAATTGCAATTCATTGTATCAAAGTTGAATTAGCACTCCTTTCTGATAGCTCATTTGACTCTGAGGGGTTGTTATCCCCCCTCTTTTGTATTCCTCATATATTCAATGGTAAGGAACTAAACCCTACTAAGTGAGTGAACCTAATGTCAAAACTTGAAAACATGCATAAAATGACGAGTTATGAATTTATCTCATAAAAACAGAAAGTACAACGACTATAATGAGCAATATAGATTGGGAAGAAAAAAGGGCATAACCTACTTCGGGTACAAATAAAGCAGATTTAGGGCCAGTTGCATTCTGGATAGCAGTTCGGATGTCATCATCAGTTAAGTTCTCACATGGATCCACTTCCTGCGAGTAATATTTCAGTATCAGTGAGAGTTAACACTCCCCCATTACTCTGACGGCATTAATTGCATGAAGAAATAGCAAAGAACTACACATAAATCAGGATACAAGTTACCGAGATGGTAAAAATGTAAGCATTTAAAAATCTGCCCAGATCAATAGTCCATCCAATACAAGATCAGACAGCCTAGCAGAAGATCAGCCAAATGAATAAATGTTTCTAGTTTTTTCACTCAGTTGTTTTAATTCTTACGTTTAGGAAGTAAAGAAAGATGGAAAGTTTTGTCACATGTTTCACAAAAATGACCGCAGAAGCAAGCAGCTCATCCAATCAAATGAAAGATAAGTACGAGTCTGAAGATTTTCTTTTAATTATTCCATGAAGAAAACACTAATGAGGACCCAAACCATGGAAATTCACTACCAAAAAAATGAAGCCGGATGTACCTCTAAACTCTTCACGAATATTGACTGGAAAATATAGTGAATACGAGCACCACCTGAGAGCTCAGATGTTGACATTTCTCCATTCTTCCCGTCAACCATTGATGCAAATGCTATTTCCAACAACAAACAAATAATTCAGTTCTTAAGCCGAACATGGCTAGAATTGTAAAATGACAAGCTCAGCTTGCATGTTGCACATGGAAAGGAAAAAAAAGAAAGTGAAATCACACTAACCTTCACAATATTTGGATAAAATATTCAGAAGTAGAGCACCTTGACCAGCCTAATCAAGCAACAATAACATCACAGGGTGAAACCATTACCCAACATCAAGCCGAGTGAATTTTTAACTAAATTGAAGTTGCGATCGCAAAAATAGAACAGAAGCTGAGGAGACTCTTTATTTTTCTGGATCCAGATAGAGAAAGTTGACAACAAAGAAAAAGGCAACAGACAAAGTAGATTTGCCCAAGCATGGCACGATTAACTCAATGACACCACAGAATACTTTATAAGACTCAAAATGCAATGTGAGACCATCAATAATTCCTTGTGGAAAATAGATAAAAGAACGTCAAACAACAAGGGATACTTTCTAACTACGTAAAACCTCTGAACCATAAAAATAATCTTTAGCAATCAAATACACCTTTGACTCCGTTATATCTCCATAACTGGCATGCTCTTTGGCAGCTGAAACTAGTGCAGAGCTTATGCGTGACTTTAACCCAGGTAGAATTGCCTTGATATGTTGCACTAAAATCTGCAGCAACAACAACAACAACAACAACAAAAAAAGAGAGAGAGAGAGAGAAAAGTGATTAAAAATTCAAATCAACAATAAATTCATAGAATTGGATCCGAACTTTACGAGCTTGAATTAAATGACTGACAAAAAATCACAATCAGACAGTAAACTTGAAAATCATTCAAATTAAAGGAGAGTGTTGGAGAGAGAGAGAGACTCCGAGATAAGAGGTTAGCTCACATCTAAAAGAAAATATAATCCCACATCCAAATGCCCAATTTTAATACCTGGTTCAGCTTCTTGGCCAATTGAGGAACACCACAACGATCAGCCAGACCATCATATACCTAAGTAACAGCTAAATCCATAAATAAAAATATGTTCAAGAATCCTTCCTCATTGTATAACAAGGGTATAGCATGATCATACTGGATGGCTGCGAAAAAATTTCTCCTCAGCTATAAGTGCATCTTTGATACTCCGGTTCAGTAAAATATCCTGGTTTAGAAATGAAATAAACAGAACTAATCAGAACCATTGCACCAGAAATAGAGGTACGTCATAAATGAGCATATTGTGAAATAGCATTAGTGATCATCATTGTTCCCTCTTGGTTATGTAAAGACTTGTTATAAAGATACATGATAAAAAATGAAAAACAAATCCCTAGACAAAGCTGACTACTAACTTGTAACTAGGAAAAATAAAAATAAAAAGATTTAAAAGAATAAACATCAATAACAAGAGTTTGCATCCTCGTCAAGTTTGTAAATACCTCCTGACTTCGATTCACAACACCAAAGTAGCCAAGTCGCAAGGGAATCACTTTTCCATACAAAAGGTTACGTGCATCAGTGCCTCTATCCATTATGTCTAGCTGTGATAACAAAGAAGAGAGCAATCAGAAACTGATTTCATCAGCAAAATAAACATTTACTTAGTAAACTTATAACCTTTGTGATTATCCCAATCGTTCTAATACCTGTAAACACATGAAATGCACGAGTTAGACGGGAGTAAAGTGCTAACTTGTAGATTAAATGCTGTGAAATAACTTACCATCAGGATCAGCATTTCCAGCAATCTGAAGAGCATCTGAGTTAGCTAAATCAGAATTTGCTGGTGTGACGGCAAGAATCAAACAGCTTGGAACTTTAATGTAGGACATAATCATTGTCCTAATGCGAGCTTCAATATCAGAAGGTTGATCCCCAACTGGGACTTTTGTTATACCAGGAAGATCAACCAGAGTTATATCGAGAACAGTAGGTGAAAAGATCTTCAAACGAATTTGCTTGTCTGAGACGCCTTTATTTCCTCCAGCCTCCCGATCAGTCTCAGCCTACAGCATAGAAAAGAGCACATTGAAAGTTGGAGACTATTATTATGCTTTCACATACTCTAAATGCAAGATGACGTGACTCACTTCAACAGATAGCTAGAGGGAGAAATATTGTATTACATGTATGAAAACGACAGAAGAAAAGATTATTAAGTATGCTCCCTTTTTTATTTTTCGTTCTTTCCCTTTAAAAAAAAAACAAATGAAGCAGTAATTACCATCAAGTGGATAACCGGGGAAGAATAATTTCCTTAGCTCTTTAGAAAAACAGAACAGAAAGCTGCATAATATTTAATCATCTCGGATCTTTTTCCCAGGAGACTTGCTTTCCATCAAAAATTCAATGATTCCTTAATATTCAAGGGTGTCATCAAGTAGCTTTAACTACGTTGACCCATAATATTGCAGATTTCTATTTCAACCCACTGCCACAAAGCAACACATAACTTCTTCTTTTTTTTTTCTCTTTTTTGCTACCAAATTGAAAACTCAGGCACTACTGAAGCCTTGAAGTATTGAATTTCAAGTTTTCCTACTAAAAACAATGAAAAATAACATATAATATAACTGAATGCAACAATTAACGAGGAAGGCCATATTCTTTGGAGCCTTTCATTTGAATTTAAACCTTCCATAAAAGCCGACTAGATCAGAATATTAAATTTTCAGGGACCTTAAACTTTCTACAATGCCGAAACAAAGCTCTTCGGCATAGTACTGTTTTCTTATTCATTAAACAAAATCTAAGTGATCATCCGCCCGCATCCCATCAAAGATTGGAATGCCTTCCTTCAACCAGCTTTAATGAATCATAAACATAACCATGCTTGCATGCCAGTTGGTTATCTGGCTCTAAAAGTGTAATGGCCCAAGCCCACCGCTAGCAGATGTTGTTCTCTTTAGACTTTCTCTTTCGAGCTTCCCCTCAAGGTTTTTAAAACGCATCTGCTAGGGAGATGTTTCCACACCCTTATAAAGGGTGTTTCGTTCTCCTCCTTAACCAATGTGCAATCTCATAATTCTTCCCCCTTCAGGTCCTAGCGTCTTCGCTAGCACTCGTTCCTTTCTCCAATCCATGTGGGATCCCCACCAAATCCACCCCCTTCAGGGCCCAGCATCCTTGCTGGCACATCGCCTCGTGTCCACCTCCCTTCGGGGCTCAGCCTCCTTGCTGGCACATCGCTCAGTGTTTGGCTCTGATACCATTTGTAATAGCTCAAGCCCACCGCTATTAGATATTGTCCTCTTTATACTTTCCCTTTCGAGCTTCCCCTCGAGGTTTTCAAAATGCGTCTGTTAGTGAAAGGTTTTCACACCCTTATAAAGGGTGTTTCGTTCTCCTCTCCAACCAATGTGAGATCTCACAAAAAGCCTTGAGCTTTAGTCCATTTTATTTGACATTCAGAGGGGTTGTATGACACTAGGGTAAAGAACCGCCATGATTGGTCTCTAGATCCTTCAACTCGTTCACGTTTAAAGAAGGTACTCATTAATTTGGAAGTCCCAAGGGAAAATTTCCTTGTAGACTTAGAAAAATATGTGCAAAAAAAAGAAAAATATATATATAAAAAAAAAAAAAAATTCAAATACCATGTAAAGGTGTTAAAAGAAATTAAATCCCATATGGAAACTAGACATTCTTCTTCGAAGTGAAAGAACTTTTGTTCCTTTCCATCCAAACTTGCCAAAAATGAACACTACACTTATGTTTGCAAAAGATTTCCCTTGCGCTGTTGGATCCTCATAGGCAGAAGATCATCACAAGCCAGTAGGTTGAATTGGGGAAGGAAAAATTAATCTGGAAAATGTTAAAAACAGTCTCCTAAAGTTCGTTTGCAGGAACGGTATACTTCCCAACTTCCTCTTCCTATTCGCTTTTTAGATGTTTTGGTTTCAACCTCACAAGTACCCGAATCTCAAATCTAATGAAACAATCTACCTGATATATCAAATAGTTCGGGAGCACTTATACAGCTTTCAGCTTTGAAAGTTATCTCAATTCGGGTTGATAATACTCGATTAAAACAGGAAATGATATTTCAGAAGCCACCATGTTTAAGCTTTAAATGGGCGCAGAGTTCAAACAATGAAAGAAGACAGAGTCAGAAACACAAGCCTTACACGAATTTCCCTCCGAATTTCAGAGAAGTCGTGAAATTTCTTCCCAGGTAGGTGCAAGAACTCCCCATACTCCTCACCAGTCTTGGTCTGCAAGAGCTGAAGCACCAATGGCCGCCGCGTACAGATATCGGAACCCCTAGGCAGAAAGTCACGACCGACGAGGGCTTCCAGTACGCTCGACTTGCCACTGCTCTGACTACCGACGACAGCAACCTGAGGGAGCTCAATGGTGGATTCGCTGCCCAACTGAGCAAAAATGTCCTGGAGCTTGTTCACTATAGGGATGACGGAGTTGCCCAAGGGAGCAGCAGCAGAGGAGGAGGAAGACGATGGAGAGGGAGGCACTTGTTCGTTCGCCATGGACGACTGTGGATTGGGCAAGGATGGAGTCGGGGTTTCTTGGAATCGTTGAATTGATGAGAGATACGGTTTGAGGAGATTGAAATTGGTCGAAAAGTTCAGAGGAAGAAGAGTTTTGCGGGTCTCCGCGGGAGAACGGCGGAGAGAATCAACCGCGGTGGAGGACGGCGGTGGTGGACATACAATCACGCCACCCTCTGCGTTGGCAAATTTCGGTCAATAGCAATTCCACGCCTCTAATAATAATTAATTTTTTAATCTATTTCACAAGGAAGATTTTTCTTCCCATTTACGTTACTAAGCTGGTTCGAACTGACACTTGTTCGACTTAATTCTATAATACAATGTCATTGACACTCGTTTGACACTCGTTCGACTTGGTTCTATAATACAATTATCTATACATGTTCTGTGACACAATCGACTTGCCTCTGCAGTCATTCAACTCTACAACTCTACCTTTCCTCTCTAGATGTAATCTCGATTCTTCATCATCTTGATTCTCACTCAACATAGCTCATATGTTTTGATTTATGTCATCATATGTTTTGATTCATGTCAAGCGAAACTTTCATCGTGAATTAATCCATAAATTCTCACCCGTTGATAATTTAAATTGTAAAATTATTAGTTCAAGGGGTTAAAGGTAAGTTTATACTTAATTAAATTATATTTGATTTTTTTTAATATTTTTTTATTACTCACTAGACAAACTAAAATGGGTATCTAATTTGTGATTTTTTTAATTATTTAATTTGTGATTTTTTTAATTATTTAATTTGAACTTATCCGTAAAAGTTCTATGTGAGATTCTACGTGAGATCCTACGGTTGAAAGAAAAAAAAACATTATTTAGAAGTGTGTGAAAACCTCTACCTAGCAGACATTTTAAAATGATGAGACTGACGCAATATATAAGAAGTCAAAGTGAATAATATTTACTAGCAATAGCTTGAGCGTTGTGCAACGATAAATACCAAGGGAGTGGATGGTGAAATTTGACTAATTCATTTTAAACTTATTAAAACAACCTGCGATGTTAGAACCATCCAAATCAAACAAAGAACAAGAGAAAAGACTGCCAAAAAGAAAAAAAGGAAGAAAATGGGAAAGAGATTATTTATTTGCACTAAGAAAAGCTGAAGAAAGTTGATGAAGAGTAATTACATTACAAGAAGCAGAGGAAAACCTATGACTTCAAAGAGATTGGCATTGCAAGGTTGACGGCACTTCCCCCACCTGATTCTTTCCATTGTTGTGTAACTGTTTTGATCTGAGTGAAGAAATTAACCCCTGCCTTCCCTGTTTCCACAACTCAAAACTCTTAATTCCAAACCCAAAAATCTTAAATAAATTGTGAATCGACTTTGGTATTGAGCATGGAAGCAAACGACTCAAAATATTTCAAGATATAAGGACCAAAAGAACAATAAAGGCGAAAGTTCATGAACTGGGATAAGTTTAAACTAAAAGCTTACCATAAAAGTTGAGATCCCCAGCGAATGATGCCTTGGAGCCGGTGAACGAGAAGAAGGGCAAGGGAACAGGGATTGGAACGTTGATTCCGACCTAATTCAAATCGAAAGTGATTTTGAGATATACTCTATTGTACAAATAAAACAGAGATAACCAAGCACTTGCAATAATTATGGTTTCGATTCCTTAAAATGGAAGTTATGAGATCATATCATAGTTTACATGATAAACACGAAGGAATAGTGTTAACATAAACATTGCCTCCACCTTGAGTTTCTTTATTTTCTTATCTGCTTTCAAAATCTAAACTAAATTTTTAAAAATTTAAAACATGAATAATAAAAACAGTGTTTATTTTTTAGAATTTGACTATGAATTCAAATATTTCTCGAGAAAGGTGAAATCCACGTTATAGAAAGGGTAAGAAAACAAACACAATTTTAAAAAACAAACAGGACTTTAATTTCTTTGAGGGTAGGCAAAAGCCTCTTCCAAGATCACCTGAAGGGTTGTCTAGGATCATAATGTAAGGAGTTGGGCCTCGGTGCCCCAAATATATATACATATGTATGTACGTGTTCATGTATGTATATATATATATATAGAAAAAATAAAGTATTTTCTTTTCAGTGTTACCTGTCCAGCTTCAATTTCAGTTTGAAACTTCCTCGCTGCTATGCCAGATTCGGTGAATATGGAAGCTCCATTGCCATACCTATTCGAAGCATATGATTTTTCCCAAGAATGTAAGCAATAGAGAAAGAAGCAGCTGCTATGAGAATAAATGAAATGACAAACAATCCAGTACCTATTTCTGTTAACGATGCTAATGGCCTCCTCAAAACTTTCAGCCTGATGGGGCAAGAAAAATTAAATAAAACAATATCTTTTACTAACGGATAGAATAATCAGAAAGATAAAGGTATGACAAGCAAACCTGCATGCAAAGCAGAACTGGGCCAAATATTTCTTCCTGGAAAGGGCAAGATAGTAATTTCCCAAGTTTAGTTCAACGTTCAGAATTATTATAGCAATTTCACTCATTATAAGATTTTTTTTAAAAAAAAAAAAAAAAGAAACCTTGTAGCACTCCATGTCAGGCGTCACGTCTGTTAAGATAGTAGGGCCAATAAAATTTCCATGCTCATATCCAGGAACCTGTTACAATCATGAAAAACTATCAGCGGAGATGCAGACATCGTTATAACTTTATCTGTATGAAACTACTTTGGAATCATTTGGGGATTAGAACTCATCAGAAAATCAAGACAATGCTTGGAAACATTCATTTACATTCTTGCAATTTTGATTCTTTGCAAAGTTACATCCCTAGAAAAATTATTCGAGAGAATCTTCCTCGTTTCACTGTGTTTTATTACATACACATAGCCATTAAATTTCCTTATCAACATAAACAAACAGTAGAGAGAGAACAGGGAGAGAAAAGTGTACTTTTGTGAAGAAGTCGCTAAAGGAATTGTGCATGCAGGAAAATATATTTGTTCTATTTATTAGGCATATAAAAGGATCTTTTGGCCTTCTATGACAGACCCCGATAATGCATGTGTACAAGAAAGTGTGCGAGGCAATCACATGATGATGATAATTACTTAAAGGCGGGCCAAGTAACTGGGTAGTTAAGGTAATGGTGGAAATGTCTAGGTATATATGGAGTGTGTGAAGGCTTTGAGGTAGTTATTGAGTTCGTTCTTGAGGGGTGAATTGAGAGAGGCAGGAAGCTCGATAATTCTTCCCTTGGTTGTACTCTTATTGATAAATAATAGATTAGAGGTTTATCATTTTAGGATCTCCAAATTTGAAATTACCATCTCTGCCTACTAAATCTCTTTATTGACTTGACTACATTTGTATTACAACAAAATCGATTACTCCCTAAGAAATTAGCATGTGATGCCACTTGCAGGCCAAGTAATTATTCATGATGCAATGTGGATTATAGATAAATTATGCATCCCATATCAGCTAGATCTATCAAATGCCGACAGAAAAAATGATAGTACTGGGACATGAACAGTAACACAATACCACTATATCTCTCCCATCTAGCAGTAGCCTGGCTCCACTATCGATGCCAGATTGAACTAATCTGTGAATCCTCTCCTTTGCCTGTGAAATAAGGAATTGTTTTCAGTATAACACTGCTGCCACTGACGGACTTCCCACGAAATAATGAAATATGAAAAACAGAAACAATAGTTTTTTCAAGTTTAAATTGTAGGAAAAAAATGACCAAGTACCTGCTTGCTAATTACTGGACCAAGATCTGCATCAGGTTCTGTTCCAGAACTTACCTTCAGAGCGTTGGCACATTCTACAAGTTTATCCTCCCTAGAAAAAGTTTATGTTCTTTTGTGATAAATAAAGTATTATGGCTGCAATCTACAAATATTTTTTAGAACAGATGCAGTACAAAGAATTCAAATTTTGCATGTCCCAAAGTACAAAAACAATACAATTATCATGGTATCTGTTAACTTCAAGACGTACAAAGATCAATGGTTTTCTCAAACTGTTCCTAACCACTAAAAGTCTAAGCTAGAGCTCACAACTGCAAAGAAGTTGCCAACTTCCAATTCACAAATTGCATTAGACGAATTCAAAACAGTAAGATTCAAAATGAAAAACTACTCAACTTTACCAATAAAAGCATGAACATAACATCAATACAAAACAGAGGTGATGTACGCTGAAGAATCTGAAAAAGCCAAAAATAGGAATAGTACCACAATTTGGAGTCTCCAACAAAGACAACTGTACTGAGTGCCATGCACCTTTGTCCAGCAGCACCAAAACCAGCAGCAACCAAAGCATTCAAAGTAGTATCTATGTTGGCATCAGGCAAGACAATTGCATGATTTTTTGCGCCCATATTGGACTGAAACAGCCATAAACAGTCACTCGGATAATTAGCAGAGTTTCATTAAAAACAAGTACATATTTCTAAAAGTATTCTAAAATTTGTGATTAGTTTACTTGCCTGAACACGTTTTCCTTTAGCTGATCCCCTTGAAAATATATGCATGCCCGCCTTTCACATAAAAAAAGAAGAAGAATTTCAAATTAAAATCCAATCAATGAATCAATATCAATATATTAGGTTGTATTAACTTGATAAACAAAACAGGTTGTGATAATTTTTAAAAGAAACAAACGTTTCTTAAGTGAAAATTGGATAAGATAAGGAAAAATCCCATGCCAAAAAGGATCATGAAACTGCTCCAATTGGCATTAATTGAAAAGAAGTCGTTACAAAGAGAAGTAAAAAGTGTACACTACAGTACTACACCAAGTAAAAAAACTAATAATAACCCAAAGCTCGACTCGGTCTGTCTCATCCTATAAATAACTTTTAAAACTCGATTGCCCCTTGAAGAAACATCCAATCTAATAATCCTGGGTTCTATAAGCAGAAAGTGGAAAAGGCCCTTTCCTATAATAGAATCTAGGTTAAATTATAATGGCACCACACCAAATGTTTCAGAGATGCAAAACAGTCATTGATAGGAAGACCTACGCAATTGAGTTAGATGATAGATACAAGGGAACACGAATCAAGATATCAGAAATCACTCGGGACAAAGCTTTCTTCCTATCTTTGAAATGGGACTCCTTCCCTTGGCTGCAAACATCTTATAAAGTGCTATTGTTAGCTCCATTGAACCAAAACTTTTTCAAAGAGAAACGTTTTCCAGAACAGACCATTTGGATAGAAAAACTCACCAACAAGAAGGGTACCATGGCTGAA